CCTTTTATATTTAAAATCTAATCTATCCATCCCTATAACCTTTAAGAAATATTTCTTTTCTCCTACAGAGTTTAAAAAATATTTTTTTATTCTGGAATTTCGAGAACCACTGGTATATTATTATGTCCTACTTTGGACTCGACAGATTTTAACGCGTCGTTCGTAATGTTCAGTGGTGGCCAAACTCAAGGATCTACTAAACCATGAGTACTCAAAGCTACACGCACTGTACACCTTACAGTATGGGGCTGTTTCAAGAGACATTTTGGAGAGGGGGGGGGTGAGGTTGCCTAAATAGAGAGCAATTGTGGAGTTGATATAACCTGAAAGGTGAATATGGGCTTTGCCAAGGAACCAAATGTCATAGAGGAAATGTTCACGCTTTTCAAGACGATCGAAGAATCATGAACACATTGCTATCCTCTGATAGATTCGCGAACGGGAAAATGTTACAGTCGTAGATGAAGATCTGCCACAAGAATGCGGACCGTTGATATGAGATGTAAGAAAGTCATCGATGCTGATATCGTCTACGGACAGACGTCTCATGGGGCTCATCTTCTGAATTCTGCACCCTGTTGACGTTTTAAGGGCTGCGAACGGTGTGTGTTTGACCTGAAGTGGTAATTTTGTCTAAGAATTTCTAGTTCTGATTTTCTACAGGTCCTAATAGATGGAACATTTTTACCCTTGACATCAAAGACGGCCTTCAGGGCACTTCAACAGTATTTCCGTACAATGTGTGAAACTTACGAAATGAGTTGGTGGTGAGGAAATGTTTAATACAACAGCTCTCTGCTCTTTACTTATCTTAATCTTGATCTCAGCGGGCAAGGAAACTTGAAAAAGCTATCTGCAAACTTCTATTTGCCTGTTAGATACTGCAGTTTGAAATATGGCGCAATCATTGTTTTTTTAGGGGTAGGCCTAATGCAAACTAGTGCGTCATGCTACAAAAATGGGGACGTAGCTGAACCTGGGTTGTTTTTTACACCCTTCGTAGAGCAAAACTATTCTGTAGATTTATCAAAAATGAATATCAGAAAAATTCCCTTTGACTTCCATATGTTGGGTACAAATTTGCAACGCAAAACTTCAGTATGAATGAAAATATTAACAAAAAAGTCGTAGTTTTTTGGATCACCCTATATATA